CCCTCGTGTAGCTTTGCGCGAAATTCAAAAACAAACAAATAAACAAACATATAATGTATAGTATAATTTATACGTGAATAAGTCGTGATGTATATAAGCAGGAGAAAACTTGTTCAAAATTAATTAACCTGTTACTGAGAATTGACTTGAACTTTCCATGATTATTTTGAGTTGAATTAGCCCATTGCTCTCTTCTGACGATGACTTCGTAGCATAGTCGAAACGTTCTATTAATGTCCAAATGAAACTTAAGATGTTGACCTTGAACCTCCAAGTAATATAACCAAGTTGTTCTATAGAAAGATTCATGTGGCTAGGAATTTTGTTATCGATATCAAGAATTTAAGTTCATTAATGACGTCTATGTTATTTTTTGTAACAATACAAAGAATGGTATGCACTTTTTACATGTGTACCTTTGCCATTAAAAATAATAATAACTTGTAAAAATTTAGGCTTAGTTTACCTGATATCACAAACTTCTAGACAAAACTTTAAGAACATTAGAGCAGCTTTGAGAGAAATTTAGCAGAACAATGATGTTGTACAAGGACATTCCAAATGTTTTTTAAGTTTAAAGAATTTGGTAATGTGAGGTTGCGATTATCTCGATTCACTTGTATAAACTGATCATTCATGCCGTCGAGAGTAAATATAACATGGAAATCAAGACTGAGACAGGTATTTATGCTTTTTCATTCGGACATATACAAAAAAGCAGCTGATGCTGTACTTGTAAATTCTTGTGGGCTAGGACTACTTAAGAAAATTGTTTTTAAAAGATCTCTGTCAGTGATGAATAAGCTATGAAAATTCTTCATAATTATGGTCGGAGACGTATAAAAAACATTTTGTTTTCAGACGTATTTTTGCTGTAGATATTACTCTGCGTGTCCATTTTACAGGCTAATGAGAGCAATTTGAGATAACCAGATCTAACGATATGCTCTTAATATAAATATGATATAAAGTATTAATATTTTGAAATGATATCAAATCCTAGTAAGCTACAATTTCGTACATGTTAGTTTGGTATATAAAACCAGCGCCACGGTATTGTCTAGCATATCCATCTATCTCTTTGCTTGTAGGTTTGATCTCATGGTAAATGGTGGTGGAGCTGTAATGTTACAGTTTGAACGTGAACCATTCAAGTCTTATGAACTTAATGTTGTTGTTCCATGGAACGAAATTGTTGTTATAAATAAAGTCATCATGAACACTAGCCAAGCAAATGATGCAGAGTACAAGTCAACTGTGTGCATGGAACATGATTATGAAACCATGAAGCCAGTTGTTCTGGCGACGTGGAAACATGGTTTTCAGGGTGGATGTCCTGAGAAAAGCTCCATATTGGCAGAATCCCAGGTAAGTTAAATAAGCTATAGAATTTTATGAAACAAAAATTCTGTAAAGTAATTCATCATTTAATTTTGATATCATGTTATGTAAAATAAGGCCAGTTGTGGTCCAGCTGTTAGTGTGTCAGATTGCGGATCGAAGTGTGTGGGGTTCTAGACGTGATGCTACTGAATATTTATGTCATTTTCAGTTATGAGTGCGTTATAAAAGTGACAATAAATTTCATTATTCGGTTTCAAGAGTCTAACAAAGGATAATCAGTAGGAAGTGCAAAGTGTAGAATTTAGTGAAGTGATAATCAGTGGCATCTTGAGTATCTGTACAGTTCACCATGAAAGTAGGACATTTTCTATCTAAACAGCAACTAACGCGCAAGTGGACTAAATGGCCAGATAATAGGAATAGCTTGCTCTAATTTTCAACTATTAGCGAGAATGAGGGCAACCTGCCAACATCAGCTGTCACCACAGGGACTTCACTAAATTCTACACTTTGCACTTCCTACTGATTATCACTTCACTAAATTCTACACTTTGCACTTCGTACTGATTATTACTTCACTAAATTTCACACTTTGCACTTCGTACTGATTATCACTTCACTAAATTCACACTTTGCACTTCCTACTGATTATCACTTCACTAAATTCCACACTTTGCACTTCCTACTCATTCTCAATTCAACAGTGAAAAAGAAAGATTTACCTTACAGAAACTTTGTCAGTTCCTTATTTTGTGATTTATCTAATTTCCTTATCCCAAGGGATTTCTTAGTATCATTAATGTATTTTCCGTGATTTTCGAAAAAAAATTATAGTTACCTCAGTTTTTTTTTTCTCGCCAACAACAGGTTGTCCAGGAAAGCCTTCCAATTCCCGGTACAGACCTACACCTTGTCTATCACAGCAGTAGAATGGGGGGCTATTTATCTACTATTCAACTTCAGCTAACACCTGATGTGATTCCCTTAACTCTTCGTCTCGTTCATCTTCGAATATCTATCGAAGGAATATACTTTGAAAAATTATTCGAGGCTGACCCTACAATTAAATTTACATATGCTTGGAACAGAAGAAATGTCTATCGACAGAAGGTATATGGCATAGCAACAGCTACAGGTATATATGATTATGATATAGCTCATACGAATTTTTTTAATACTTCGCTAACTAGCCAACGACAAGACTACTAATCGCTATTCGGAATGCACTAGAGGAGTGTACGTTTTACTTATGCCTCTAATTAACAATGATGTTTTAAGTTATTCGTTTATTTGCCATTTCTTAGTGTTATCAAAAACATAAAACTATGTGTAAAAATCTAAATGATATTTTCTTAGTTACATCGCAGTGTTAAATCGAATTACAATTGACATTTTAGAGGTGAATATTCAGATTCAACTTGCTTAGATCGAATTTCTTCTTTAAAACAAGTCATGTTTCAATAGATTGTTATTGATGATAATGATTTTATCGTATTTAATGAGGGCTTATTTTCTCATAGTCCACATTGGTTATGAATATAGTAGTTGCCCTCAGATAATTTGGGAAGTACAAAACACTCAAGTCAGTGGACATGATATGAGTATTTCCGAAATCGGAGGCTGGAACCTAGATATACATCATCGGTATAACTTTCATGAAGGTAAGTCGAATTTCTTGTTAGTGAATGCATGCAAAATCGATAGTTTATCGATTATCAACCGATTAAGCACTTCAGAATATTTTACTAAAATACCCAATATTTCACTATTACGACTTCATCAGAGGCTCAACTGAAACTAGAGAAACTTATAGTTTGAATGTTGCAAAATAATATGAAAAAACAAAACTCACAGAAGTTTCATTATATAATATATAACATCACGAGGAAATGTCTGTTTAAAACAAAATGGTAGCGAACTTTGGTGGGGGGAGAGATACTTTTCAATTAAAGAGGCAAACATGTGCGGTGTGCAACATGTTTCCGCCACGCAATCCCAATATGGCCAATTTTGGCAGCAGAAAAAATCGAAGACTGTCTGTGTCGTTGCTTGGGACATGCAAGAAGGTATATTTGTGCCAAATCCAATCTATAGTGGTTGACATACACATGAATAGTTCACGAAAACCCCAAATTATGTTTTCCTCGCTCATAAATTGAGCAAAAGACGAAAATTCCAAAATTGTCGAAATCTCTGTTTGGGACCTGTAAAAAAGTATCCTTGTATCAAATCACATGTAGATTGGCCGAAATATGGTTGAGTAAATTACCAAAATCCCTAAAATTATGGGTTTATTTAACTTTTTGACTCCCCCTAAAATTATCAAAAAATGGGCATTTCCCATATTTTTGTATCTATATTTATTGGGCCTGTAAAAAAGTATAATTTTTTGTGAGCTCTGACCTTAAAGTGATTCAAAATGAGCAAATCCAACTTTTTGTATGTCATTGTGTTGGAGCGCACGAAAATTTATATTTGTAGCAATTTTCCTCTTGATTGTTGTAAATATGACCGCAAAATGAACCCAAAATATACACTTTGGATTATTTGGCATTTGACCCCATACAATCCTTTAAAAGGCTTAAATAATAAACTCTTGGTGTATTGGACCGAGGTACAAACCTACTACGTTTCAAGACAATCTGCTAAGAAATGAAGTAAATGAAGTCGATTGAAAAGTGTTTGGAAGAAGAAGAAAGAGACATAATTAACAAAAGTATAGTACAAATTATAACATGAAAAAGTGGTATACAGAAAAATGCAGAGTGAATGTTTAGTCGTTTGATATTTAACAAGCCAATAATTTAGTATTATCTAGTTAAAGAAACAGTTACATGACAGACACGTTTATACAGACAAGTATAACAACTGCTATGCAGATTATGTTAGACACTAGATGTTTCTTTTCATATCCCTCTTCATTAATTTTTTAATTGCGGATTTAAAATCGCAGATGTGTAGAAAATTTTCATCTCAGATCTATATTATTTTCTGCTACATATCATCGCCAAGCTAAAGAGTTCTAGGAGATAAAAGTATTGACCTTAGATTTTTTCACACCTCTAATTTAAAATTTGTAATAAATAAAATAAGAGAAATATGAAAACAAACACCTTCAATACTTTATTGGTTTACGAATTGAATTGGTCTGAATTTCGCGCAAAGCTACACGAGGGTTGTCTGCGCTAGCTCTCCCTAATTTAACAGTAAAAGACTAGAGGGAAGGATACTAGTCATCACCGCCCACCGCCAACTGTTGGGTTATTCTTTTACCAACGAATAGTGGGATTGACCGTGACATTATAACACTTCCATGGCTGAAAGGGGAGCATGTTTGGTGGAACAGGTATTCGAATCCGCGACCCTCAGATTGCGAGTCAAGCTCCCTAACCACCTGGCCATGCCGAACCTATTGTTTTCCAATGCTTCTCCAGCTTTCGGCATTCGAATTTTAACTTTAAAAGTATAACATTATATAACTAATATAGAAATCAGAAATAAGTATATAAGATACGTTCTGTATTTAATAGTTGTTGGATAGATCTAAAAGGAATAGAATTTTATGAATACGGATCCATCTGCTTTGTCAATTATATTGATATTAGGCGAGTGTACGTGCTTTATCTGTTGTGATGATAGGTCGTTCATTTGAACTAAAAGAAGAATTATCATTAGATTTTTTCACTTTAAAGTTTAAAAGTTTATATTTCGAATAGAAAATGTGTACTATATATTTTTGCCTCGTCATGCAGGATAAGATAATTAAAGTACAATGGCCCGTTAAATTAATTATAACTTTTTTAGCTCTTGTAATGACACAAGCCTAATGATAGTAATTTGGAACAAGCTCTGAAGTAATTAAAGAAAGTACATTTCCTCCTGCCTCCATTAAATGTGTAAGCTGATGATTCCTTGAGAAAAATGCAGCAGGATTACATAAAAAAATATAATATTATTTACCAGAACCTTTTTCATCAGGGTATAAACTTTTAATCTAGGGCTTATACACGTTCGTAGCTCTCTGAAAAGGCATGCACGATGTGGACAATCCTGGAATTGGATCATATTTTTACCACTCCATTTAAAATATTCTAGTTAACACACTATGTACGTTATAAGGGGGAGGAGAGGGGCCAGACGATTAACTTTTTATACAGAGAACTTACAACTTTTTTTTATTTCCCTTAGCATCAATTTTATATTATAATTATTTTTACATCATGTACATTTTCCCATAACTGTCTCGTGGGATTAAAGTTTGTACCACTGTAATTATTCTTTAAATAAAGTCAAGGAATTCTAAAATGGATGCGTTTTGGAGACGTGTAGGCTTAAAAGACCAAGTCATGGTGGTTATCTGTAAAAGGTACTCAAAGCTACCTCCACTTGTTACATACATTCGTCTGCAAAAGGCTTGAATAACATCAAAGGAGTAAAAATAACTCCCCACATTGTGTATCTTTTATTTTAAGAAATTTCTTGCACTATGTACGTACATTTTATGTGCTTGTTTCTCCTTAGGTATTCTACAAAAAGGAGATGGTACAAACATATATTTAAAAAACAAACCAAAAGTTCTGTTGAACGTCATGGGAGACGGGCAACAAAGGCTTTTACACTGTCCTGACTGTGATGGCATTGTAACGAAACAACGACTTTTGGCACCTGTAGCCATAACAGGTGCTCCGGACGGCAGTTTGTTTGTCGGAGACTTTAATTTAATCCGAAAAATTACTCCTAGTGGGTTAGTTACAACGGTAGTGGAGCTCAGGTATGATAATTGTTTTATTACATTTTTAGAATGTTAACAATTTTATTTTATTCTTAAGTTATATATATAGAGAAAAACTAAACAAAAAACGAATAGTTGATGATTTATCCAAGCCACAATAAATAAGAAAAAAAACATTCCTTCGAAATACATCTTTCATCTCGAATAATTGAAATACACTTTTACATTTGTTGTGGTTTTTCAATGCTACTTAGCTAGATGATATAACATTTGTCTATTCTAATAAAACCAAACTATTTAGCCTATTCGATGACGAGGAGCCCACTTT